TGTGTGTATAGGTGTATCATTTAACCTGATGTTAAGTAAGTCTCTTTGTTTAACATAGTCTCTTCTGAAATGATATTCCTTTTTGTCTATAAAAATCATTATTCCCTACTTTTTATGTGGAACTCTTATATTTCCCCCCAATATTTTTATGTCTGAATTGGGCATTATTTGCCCGTTTGGGAGAAGATCCTTGCGTGGGATTTTGAACGAAGCATATGAAATTGTTTCTCATTTTGTGAAATGAATTGATTCTTAAGAAAAATATGGACCTTTTTTCATATTTATTTCTATTTTGATTTGGCAGAAGCATAGGAATACTTTGTAGAGTAGACGTGCATGAGTAAGATAAAAATATATTGCTGACTAAATGGATTTTCCTCTTGTTTATATTTATAGGGGGTTGATGTGCATACACCGGATGAAGGTAGTTCATCGTGACCTAAAAGGTGCAAATTGCCTTGTGAATAAGCAGTGGACTGTTAAGATATGTGATTTTGGGTTGTCGAGAGAAATGTACAGCTGACCTATGATTGACTCGGTATCTGCAGGAACACCGAATGGATTGCTCCTGAACTCATCCGCAATGAACCTTTCACTGAAAATGTGATGTTTTCAGCCTTGGGGTCATAATGTGGGAACTCTGTACTCTAAATAAACCATGGGAAGGTGTACCACCAGAAAGGGTATGTTGGGATACTTAAAAACTTTTAATTTTTCAAATCATTTGTTGTCTTATGCTATGGGACTTGGACTCCTTAATCTGCTTCAAGTACCCATTTCGACATTTGTTTCAGACACGAGTATGGAATATTTCCCAAGGATCTTCCAAATACACGAAAAAAAACTAAAAAAAAATGTATCGTATATATACTCATATCTAACACTCACATTCAAGTACGGTAACTTGGGCCTTGTTTATTTTTCTTCTGTTTATGCAATTACCTAATGAAGCATTTTCATTTCTTTCTACATTGGGTTCAGGTAGTTTATGCAATTGCAAATGAAGGGTCAAGGTTGGAGATCCCTGAGGGACCCCTAGGCAGGCTAATTTCAGGTCTACCAACAAAAGTTTCTTACATTTTACACTTTCCAAGTTGTCATAATATATTCATTCATTTATTTTAGTTCTTTATTAATGATAACAACAAGGGATGGACGAGGGGTGATAACAATAATTATTTTTCTGAAAATTTCAAATTATCATATATTTTAGATATTTTTTTGTATTTTCTATTGATAATCTATTTTCACTATTAGAATTTTATAAGTTTGTTCCCTCCTAAAATTTTAAAAGTTTGCTCTTAACATTAAATCTTAAGTTCGTCCCCGGTTAGTAACCACCCGTATAAGGTAAGTTTAATTTGTTATAATTATCATTTATAATTGTTTTGTTTTGTAATTTTAGGTACAGATTGTTGGGCAGAACCGGAAGAGCGGCCAAGTTGTGAGGACATACTTTCTCGCTTGCTTGATTGCGAGTACTCTCTTTGCTGATACCATTCTATTTGTTTGTTTGCACACTGTCGTTTTTTTTAACTGTATAGTTTACGCAATCAATTTATTTATTTTTTATTTATTGTGCCTTTTTTAGTTTCGGTGATAAAATTAGTTGCTGTTTTCATGGGTTAAATCGCATTGAATTTATATATGAAATCAATATTATGTGGTTATCCAAGTAAAGTATAAAAATGTATTGCACATTTCAATCTACACGTTTTTTTGGGGAAAATAAATAAATGCTTTGTGAATTATGCTTAATTTTTTTGTTAATGATAATTGTCGTTAATTTAAATATGTATCAACTTAATAATATAATTTCTAAACTTTAAATTAAATATTTATTAAATTTATGTTAACTTTAAACATTGACGATCCGACTTTTTTCATTATTTAATCCTAACTTCATCTTCGAGTTAATTGATTTCTTAAAAAAAAATCTTAAAGGTTAATTTATCATCTAATAGGCAATCGACAGTCCCAAAATATCTGGTATTATTTTTGGGTAAAGTATACAAATAATCCCCTATTTTTTATGGTGCTTGCATTCTGGTTACTCAACTTTTAAAACTTCCAATATAATCACTGAACTTTTAGTTCATTTTCAACAAAGTTGCTGACCCTCCTCCTCCTCCTCCTCCTCCTCTTCTCTAAACTAAAACCCCTTCACCACCCTTCTTCTTCTTCTCTCTAAACTAAAACCCTTTCACCACCTCTCTTCTTCTTCTTTTACGTACTCTCTAAAGTAAAATCCCTTCACCACCTCTTTTTTATGTGCCTTTCTCGTTGTCGTTGTTGTTGTTGTTGTTCTATATCAAAGAGTCATGACAGCCATGAGATTTCAAAGAGTCGTGACGGCCAAAATTTCATAATAAATAATCTGGGGAGAAATACAGATTCTGTCAATAATCAAATCCATGGATGAAAGCAGTCCAAATGAAAAGAAAATTACCCTCCCCCCCCCCCAAAGAACCAAAACAGAAAACACAGCTTCTAATCTTCAAAAAAGAAAGGGAAAAACAAAGGAGATAAACACTAAACGTATTAAACCTTCTGATTTGCGAACCAAAAACAGCAGGTCGAACAAAAATGAATAAAGAAAATGTTCAAACGATGACTAATAGGTGATATTACTTATTTGTCACAGTATCCCTTGGTCATCTCTCTCTTCATATCTCTGATTTTTTTCTCCATTTTCAAAGCATAGAATTTTATTAAAGACTTCATGTATTTATTCTTTGGAGAGTCGAACTATTTTGAATTCCAAACTTCCCACAGATTATAATGAGGTAAAGGTAACTTAAGATCCGTTCATTTGCTACAACTTCACGCCTGCTCTTTAAATTTTAATAAACCAAAACAATATCGCTTGTCTTCATACAATTTGGTAGTAGAAGAAGAAGAAGAAGAAGAAGAAGAAGGGTTGACGGAGTTACTAACAGAGGTAACGTTAGGGATTTTGCTGAAAACGAATTAAAAATTCAGTGACTGTATTGCAAGTTCTAAAATTGAGTGACCAAAATGTAAGTTTCCTAAAAATTTGGAGACTATTTATATATTTTACCCTTAATTTTTAAAAAAGTGTATGTGTTTTATTTTATTTCCAACGTATTCCATTGTTTTCTTGGGTGAAGACGCTCTCACCTCATAAACTTTGACAATGATGTCTTGAGGATGCTACTTTAAAGTTTTCTCCTCATTTTTTTTTAATTCTCACAAAAATAAAAGATAAAATTTCAAGATTAAAACCAAAAAAAAAATCACCTTAAAGCATATATTAAGTAGTATCAGTGGTAAAAGGAATGTTGTTTTCTCTAAAAGATCTAAGTTCAAACAATATTTACAATATATGTATATGTTGTTAATTAATTAAAAAAATTATAAAAATATATTATATTATAATCATCACATACCGTTAAAAATACATCTTACAAAAATAATATAAAACATGTTAGAGGATTAACCAATTAACTGACAAACAACCCTTTAAACGACTTTTCTTACAAAAAAATAGAAATCCCTCAATAAATCTCAATATATATATATATATATATATAAAAGAAATTATTGTTTTATCACTTAAATTCTAGTCATTTTATTAATCTAACGGTTTTACTAAATAAAAAATATAAAAAAGATTTGTAATCTAAAAAGGTACAAAATCTAAGATATATTGATCATGGGATAGGATCATGTTATATTAATGTAAAACTCTTTTAGTTTTACATAAATTTAAGATCGTTGGATGAGCAAAAATAAATGGTTGAGATTGACTACCTATTTTGTTTTAAGTGAATATCTCCTTATTTTTATTATTAATCTCACCCATTTATTTTCACTTTTAATCCATTGATCATGCTCATTTTCTAAATCATTAAAGATTAAAATTAACCGGTAGATAGTAAAAATAAAATCATACAAGAAAATAATTTAAAAACACAATTGAAAATTTGATATTATGCGAACGATAAATGAGTATACAAGTTTATAAACGAATGTTATACGAATCGAGTACTCCAGTTTATATATAAACTCGTTTTTAAATAAACTTATAAACGAATCGATAAACGAGCCAATAAACGAACTGAGCATACATAAATGAATATAAAAATTTTATTTATTTTTTTATTTATTAAATAAATATTATGCGAACGATTCACGAATAATTTATCGAACATTTTGTTGATTTACGCTTTGCATGTATACACAGCAGACGGAGTAAAATTGCCGTTGCTGTCCCACAAAATTTGATATGTGTCGGCGTGCAATATATTGAAAGACTAACTTTGATAGTTAATAATTCTAGTATTATCTCCTGGATTTGTCTTTAAACAAAAAGTAAATAAATGCATTAACCATTAGTTTCATTTAAATAAAAAATGTTTTTAATATTTTATATATCTTACAAATTATTTTTTTGGGAAAATAAATAAGGGCTTGGTGAAATATGGTTAATTTAGATTCAAGTAAGCATGAAAGAATAGTAAAATACTTTCAAGAAAGCTGGTTTCTTAAGAAACCTTAAACGTCGATTTATCATTCGTTTGCTTTTTAATCATGACATTGTTCTTCTTTTTTTACCAGAAAGGTTTATATGAATATGACATCTCACTCGACCATTCTCTGGGGGCAAGAAATCTGCAGAATCTTTAAAAGGTTTAATCAACAGAAAAGTTGGACGCTAAGTATTAGATATTATAATTAATTAACTATTTATACAGTGATACTTTTATAAAAATCAAGTAATTAACCAATATTTCAGTGGAAGCAATGAGAATATGAGGTGTACACAAATATTGAGGATTATTTAATATGTATTTGGTATACCACCGAATAGGTGACACATTATTTGATTTGTCTTTAGTATGTCAGTGGGCAGGGCTTCATAGATGTCTATCTGCAAAATAATAGTACGTATGAACGTAAACAAAAGCATATCTTAAAAAAGAGTTCATTTGATCCAGAAACCAAATCTACTTGTTGATCTCATGAAACTGAAAACAATTGCAGATCCAGCATTCTAAAGTGAAGGTGATATACTCAACTGAAATTTATGGAAAATGGAGAAGAAAACAAACGAATTAAGACAAGTGTTCATGGCTTCTTCTTGTGTTTCTTATAAGGGATTCCTCTAGCCTTGGCTTGACACTCCCTCACTTCCCTTAGAAAAACTCGAATAGCAGCGGTGGCGAAAGGGTTGGTCTCCGGTGAACCTCCGTTTTCTTCGTAGGCAGCTCGAAGCCGACCGATAAGAGCATCGAGGCTGCCCCAAGCTTGTTTAACGGGACAAGTGCAAGGAGCAGGCGGCTCAGGCTGTCCATAGAACATGCAACCTTGGAGGTGAACCTTGGTCTTCCCGAACTGATCCAGGTATCGAAGGAAGTCTAGCACATGGTTCGAATTGCACTGTGATAGCGGAACCGGGGGACGCTGGTTCTTCAAGTACTGCCCGAAAGTATTCCAGTCCCTTCGCTTCTGCGACTCGTATCGGCTTGGTGTCGGCGGTTGCTGCTGATCGGAACCAGGATCATTAATCGTCGATGATCCTTCGGCTATATCCTTCCCTCTCTCACTCGACATATCGTTGAGGATTAATAATGTTTTTTTGCTAAAGGACTAGAGGAGCAAGCAAGAAATAATAGGAGAAGCAAGCAAAGGGAGAGTAGGATAATGAAGTTCACATCATGGGAGCAATCAAGACATGCCATTGGGCCATATGACGTTGCTTTCTGTTCCTCTCTTTTTTTACTTGGGTAAACTATGTATTTAGTCATTCATTTATTTCCAATGTTATGTTTTGATCACCCAACTATTTTTTTTTAAATCATGGAGCAATCAAGACATGCCATTGGGCCATATGACATATCACCATAAGGTAATACCATGTAATCATTGGGGGAAAATTACCACGTCAGCAGTTATGTTTATTTTTTAACAATGATTGACCAAAATAAAATAAAAACGTAAGTTATACATGATTTTAAAATAATAGTTAAATAACCAAAATGGAATCAGGGAATAAGTGAATGACTGAACACATAATTCACCCTTCTCTTTCATCTTTCATTTTGTACATCCTCCTCTGTAAATATATTACTTTAAAATTAGCAATATATTCTCCTGTTAATCCTTGCATAATTGATGTTATTGTTCTTATCATGGTACTTTAATTACCTTTAACCCCTCATCCACTCTATGGTTTCTTTGATTTTCTATAATGAAAAAGTGCCATTTTTAAAATAATAGTTAAATAACCAAAATGGAATCAGGGAATAAGTGAATGACTGAACACATAATTCACCCTTCTCTTTCATCTTTCATTTTGTACATCCTCCTCTGTAAATATATTACTTTAAAATTAGCAATATATTCTCCTGTTAATCCTTGCAATAATTGATGTTATTTGTTCTTATCATGGTACTTTTAAATTACCTTTAACCCCTCATCCACTCTATGGTTTCTTTGATTTTCTATAATGAAAAAGTGATCATTTTTCAAAATAAATCCTAAAACGATAATCTCATTGACAGCAGTTATACCAAACTCAACTTGACATTCTTGCCCTTCTCTGGAAAGAGAATTTTACTTTTAATAAGTATTAAATCTACAACCTAAGTAAGAGAAGAGGTGTCAAATGAAAATTATTATCCACTTACTCTAAATATTATTGATAATATTTACTATTTTTTTAGTTGTTCTTTCTCTATTTGACAAATAAACTTTAAAGTATACAAATAGTCTCTCAACTATAATATTATTTAATTGATTTTTTCGACTATTAAAAGTTATAAAATAGTCTCCAACTATATGGTATTATTTTATTGAGTCCCCTGCTATTAAAAGTTATAAAATGTCAACTGACTATTCATATATTCCAAACTAGTCATTTTTGTTAAAAATTTGACAGCAACAATTTAATCTGTTGACTAGGATATGTTAAAATTGGATCTCAGAATCACAAATGACTATCATATATCAGTCACATGTTAACGTCCAACTTAGACAAATGTCAATTTTTTTATCAACAAATGGCGTTTGGAATATGAATAGTCAGTGACCATTTTATAATTTTTAATAGTCGAATGACTCAACAAAGCAACATCATATAGTTGAAGAACCATTTTGTAATTTTTAATAATCAAAGAACTCAATAAAGTAACGCCCTATAATCGAAGGTACATTTATACACTTTACTTTAAACTTTAATAATTTTTGTTCCTCTTAAAAAAATTTAGAAAACTAATTCTAAGTCTTCATCACATAAAAGTTTCTATGACACCAACATACACTTATTCTATTTTACAAAAGTAAAAAATCATTTTAATATTTTTGGTTTAACATATAATGAACAAGATTTGCAAAATTAAAACTAGCAACAATAATTTCAAAATAAAAATGTTAACTTTCTAATTAATATTAAGGAATTTCTTTAATGATTTTATTAATCCGTAAAGTAATCAATAGAAAGTGATAAAAGAACGATTCTGGTGGTTTTGAGGGTGTTAGTCTAATTTTTATGATAAAGAAGTGTTCGTTTTTTATTCTCTGTTGTATGGTTATTTATAATGTTCTGGACAAGTGTCAATCAGAAGTTATCGTGTCATTGATATTGATTGGATGTCTTAAAAAGTGATAGTTTAGATTAATACGCGGGGTTGCTGGTGATACTACGCGGGGTGCTTTCGCAAGGATAATAGGTGATCGACACGTGGTTACTTGTAGGGTATGATCTCCATGCATGAAGGTTCACATAAGTATTATGTTCGCATGTCCAAAATTCACGAAGATGAAGATTCGCAGGTAGAAACATATTTATATTCAATCTCTAAAATTTATTACCTATTATATTTTGACTCAAATTATATTGATAATTAAGTTGGATTTTGATACAATTATGGTGGTTAAAGATTACTTAGTATATGAATGTGGTATTGATAAATGTGTTATTGGAATAGCAGTCATTATATAGTGGTAAAAGTGTCTTCAGAAACCGTTATTACACAATGTGATACTCGTAATAACACTCGTTATTGCCGCAATCACGATAAACACAACACAACAAAAAACACGATCATAACTGCGATCACGATAAATACAATGCAATAAAAAAATAAACCGTAATCACAATTTAAATATGTGATATTAATATCTAAACTAAACCCCGAACACCTCAAAGTAAGCCATTCACAAATCATCTTCTCGGCCTACACACCTTATCCCTACCACCAAAACCCAAAACCTCATAATATCACCCTTCGCCATCGTTTAACTTATCATCAAAACCTTACACACATCTTACGAATAAAGAATCATAAACAAAAAAAAAGGGTTAGAAAACAACAAATAACAGTAACAAAAAGAGAGAGAAAAGGTAGAAAAATAGAAAATTTGAGCAAAAGAGGAAAAACGAATATGATGAATTCAGTGAGGATTTTTTAAGCAACGTGTAAAAAAAAAGTTGGTAAGTGATTCTACCCAAGGACAATATCGTCATAATATCAATACAAAAGCAAAGTCGATATCACACAAACTTATTCTTCATCTAAACATATTTTTCTCCAGACCATAAAAAAGAATAAAAAGAAGCGAAAAACCATGTGCAGTGAAGATTGCAGGCCACTGGGCTTCCTCCTCAGCCTTCCCTTTGCTTTACTTTCTCTCATCATCTCTATTCTCGGCGTTGTTGTTTGGATCGTGGGGTGAGTCCTTCCTCGGGATATGGGTCTTAATGTTCTCTAATTTTTTTCGCCAATCAATCAACCTATGAGTATTGTTCTAATTTCATGGCTTGGGGGATTTCGCAGGTTGTTGTTGACACTCATCTGTCCTTGTTGTTTGTGCGTGACGGTGATAGTGGAGATGGCATTGGAGTTGATCAAAGCTCCAATTCATGTTATCAAATGGTTCACCCAACAGATCCCTTGCTAATTCCTCTTTTAATCTTCACTGCCTGCTCTGTTCTGCTTATTTTTCTCACTTCTTATTTGGGTTTAAACATGGCTATCATATATATATACACACACACACATCTCTTTGCAAGTTATATGTTCGATGATTGTAAGGGTGAAATTTAGGCCAAGTTTCATTGTTGTATTCTTGGCTCTTGATTGTAGCTAAGTAGATATTCTTTGTGTGGTTTCTGTGATATGATAACATTAATTATACGCCCATCGGCAGCGCATTCCATCTGCTAAATGAAATCTGAAATCTGACACCAAAATTTCTTTTATTGCATTTGGTTTTTTATTTAGTACAAGCAGTTTTGCTTTACTGTCGATTACTGGAGGGAGGGGGGGTGTAAAATATAAAAGGATCTTGTAATGAGAAAAATTGCCTCTTGATTCTGGGAATTTGGTCTTTACAGTTTAGTTGTTAAAGTGCAAAATTCTATTATATCCAAAATTTGCCCATTTTATTTTAAATTATTCGAACAATTTAAATTTCTGCTTCGATTTTTAAATTCGAATTTTATCAATTTATAAAATTTTAAAAATTATAAAACAATTCATTTTAATCTCCAGTTAAGTAATTTGATCGTTTAAAGGATCTTTAATTTTCTTATATCTTAAATTTTCTTTCATTTTAATTTATTTTTTGAAAATATAAAAAATAATATGTACATCTTATTATATGGTTAAAATAGTGTATTTCATAATATTAGAAATAATTATAATTAAATTTTAAAAAATCAAATAATTTCATTTAAAACAAATAAATAAAATTTAAATCACAAAATAATACTCTATTCGATAAAATATTAATTTATAGTTAACACGTTGTGTACACGACAGGAGAGGCCAAAGGGAACAAGAATTCCAGAATGTTATAGTGCTCACTCCTGAGCGTTGAATGGAATAATATTAGAGAAAATCGCCTCAGTGACCAAAAATGTCTTATAATATATGATTTTAACCAACTTTTTTAGGATTTACTAAAATGACCAACAAAATCGCAATGCGATCGTTAATTCGCATCGCGATCTCCATTATCGCAAATTCGCGTTGCGATAGTTGGAAATCGCGTTGCGATGGTCTACAGTGTCGTTGCGATTTTCCCAATTCGCAATGCGAATAAGTAAATCGCAACGCGAATTGGAAAAATCGCAATGCGATACTTACTATCGCAATGCGATAATACAAAATCGCAACGAGATACTGACTTTCGCAACGCGATTCTGACTTTCGCAACGCGATTTACATAGCGCCATTCGTATTAACGCGTATTTTTTTTTCAAATTCCAAACACGAATTTTTTCTTAATAAATCGGAAACTGAACCGTCCACAGTAATCGCAACTCATAACCTCAAACCCAAAATCACAACACTCAGTCCCATCTCCATCTCTCACTCTCTACGGCGAAATCCGTCCCCATCTCCGAAGATTTCCGTCCCCATCGCGGCGAAATCCCTCACAACCATTCACAGTCAAAAATCCCTCACAATCATTCAGAAATGGAAAATCAACCTCCGAGGGTTAGTTTTTTTTTATTTTTATTTTGAAATTTTTGCATTATTTTAGGTTTTTCATATTGAGATTGATGATAAGTTTACTGGTAATTTCAATGATAGATTAACCATTTCACTTAGATTTCTTATTAAATTCATTCGATTGCTGCCAATACTGCTAAACTGTTTAGCCTGTGAAATTAGTATTTGTCTTTGTTTTGTCTTTTGGTTGAAGTAATGCAGAAGAAGAATAGTTTCGAGAATGAAAATCGCAACGTGGAAATAACTATCGCTACGAGAGAATCGTAACGCGAAATAAAAAACGCAACGCGAAACAAAAATCGCATTGCGATTTTCATTTCGCGTTGCGATTTTCATTTCGCGTTGCGATTCTCTCGTCGCGATAGTCATTTCGCGTTGCGATAGTCATTTCCGCGTTGCGATTCTCATTATCTCGTTGCGATTTTCATTTCAACCAAAAGACAAAACAATATTGCAAATTTTAGTTTCAAGAATAAACTACTATTTATGTTTATTGTTTTTGGTATATCTTGACAGTGTAGTTTTTGGTATATCTAACTTAGTATGTTTATTGTTTTTTTGTAGAAATTTTTTTCGGCTTCATTGACATTAAGGAATAAAGTTAGCCTAGCCACTACAATTGCTTCGAAGCTTTCACCTGCACAAAGAAAATTGTTTGAAGAAACCTGCTTCGGGCCATGGCTGAGAGTACAACATGCGGGTGGAGATGCTAGTTTGACCCATTTGTGGCTTCAGACCATGACTAGCGATCTACCCGACAGTATACAACGTGGTGAGGAAGAGATATGGTTTCATTTTCCACCGGCGTATACTTGTTTTGGGCGGAAGGAGTTCTGCTTAATCACTGGTCTACGATTCGGACACGATGATGTAGGCCGGTACACTCGTCATATCACCCGCCCATCATGGTTATCCAGGGTTTTTCCTGATGAGTCAATAGAGAAGCCGAACTTACACGTCGACAACATGAAGAAATTGTTTAATAAGAAAGATAGTTTTACTTGGATGAATGACGTAGATATTATCCGAGTATGCCTTCTACTACTTTTGTATGCCGGCTTTTTAGGCAGAGAGGCCAGACAACCTATTCATCAGGAGCTAATATTATTGGTAGAGGACCTAAATGCATGGAATCTGTTTCCGTGGGGTTCGTATATATGGAAAGCTACCTGGACTAAGTTGTCGTCTGCCTTTGATGACCACAAAAGTTTGCGGGGCGATGGGTCGAAATACACTTTGTCAGGCTTTGTTTGGGCCTTTAAGGTAAGAATTTCTATATAATGTTTTTAAAATTATAATTAATTATTTAACAATTACTAATGTTTGTTATTATATTGTTTGTAGATTTGGATATTCGAGGCCTTTCCCGCCATGAAGACATATGCAATCAAAACTTCAAATGATATTCCCAGGGCTATTTCCTGGAAGAGGAAACGTCTGTTGGATTGGGAAGACTTAATACCATATGCGACAATAAATAATGTAAGTTAACACAAATACTATCATATATAAACAAGTTATTAATAGTAGACGTTTAACTTTGTTTGAGTTTTTATATTTTTAGGAGGACAACATTCCATTAATGAGACTGACACCCACGGAGGCTGAGCTTGCCACTGATTGGTGGCAAGCTAGTCAGCGTTTTCTTGATGGCCAATCAGTGGCAAGCTCAGCTTCCGTGGGTGTCAGCCTCTGTAGAGGAGTGTTGGCCTCCTAACAATATAAAAGCTCAAACAAAGTTAAACGTGTACTAGTAATAACTTGTTTATAAACATATGGTAGTATTTATGTTAACTTACATTATTTATTGTCGTATACCGTAGTAAATCTTCCCATTGCAAGGTCCGTTTCCTCTTCCAGGAAATAGCCCTGGGAATATCATTTGAAGTTTTTATTGCATATGTCTTCATGGCGGGAAAGGCCTCAAATATCCAAATCTACAAACAATATAATAACAAACATTAGTAATTGTTAAATAATTACTTATAATTTTGGAAACATCATATAAAAATTCTTACCTTAAAGGCCCAAATAAAGCCTGTCAAAGTGTATTTGGAACCATCGCCATGCAAACTTTTTCTATCATCTAAGGCAGACGATAACTTATTCCATGTAGCTTTCCATAAATACGAGCCCCACGGAAACAGATTCCACGCATTTAGGTCTTCTACCAATTTGATTAGATCATTTGGAATAGGTTGTCTGGCCTCTCTGCCTAAAAAGCCGGCATGCAAAAGAATTAGAAGGCATACTCGGACAACGTCGACGTCATCCATCCGAGTAAAACCGTCTTTATTATTCAACAATCTTGTCAGGTCTTCTACGTGTAGACTCGGCCTCTCCAGCTCAGGAAAAACCCGGGATAGCCATGATGGGCGGGTAAGGTGTCTAGTGTACCGACCTACATCATCGTGTCCGAAGCGTAGACCGGTGATTAAGCAAACTCCTCCCGCCCAAAACACGTATACGCCGGTGGAAAATCAAACCATATCTCTTCATCACGACGTGTATAGTCTTGGTAGATCGCTAGTCATGGTTTGAAGAAACAGGTGTGTCAACATCGCATCTCCACCGGGATGTTGTACTTTCAGCCATGGCCTGAAGCATGTATCCTCAAACATTTTTCTTTGTGCAGGTGAAAGCTTCGACGCAATTGTTTTGACCAGGCTGACTTTATTTCTCAAGGTCAATTGAGCCGAATAAAAGTTCTACAAAAACAATAAACATACTAAATTAGATATACCAAAAACTACACTGTGAAGATATACCAAAAACAATAATAAACATAAAGAGTAGTAGTTTATTCTTCAAACTTAAATTTGCAACACTGTGAATTTCGTATTTGTCTTTGTTTTTTGGTTGAATTAATGCAATTCATTCAAGTTTCAATTTGCAGAAGAAGAATAGTTTCTGAAAATGAAAATCGCAACACGAAATGACTATCGCAACGCGAATTTGACTATCGCAACGAGAATCGCAACGCGAAACTAAAATCGCATTGCGATTTGCATTTCGCGTTGCGATTCTCGGTTGATTTAATAAGCAATCTAAGTGAAATGGTTAATCTATTATTGAAATTAACAGTAAACTTATCATCAATTTCAATATGAAAAACCTAATAATAATGCAAAAATTTCAAAAAGAAAATAATTAAAAAAACTAACCCTCGTTGGTTGATTTGGTTGATTTTCCATTTCTGATTGTGAGGGTGGCTCTAAGAGATGGAGATAGACGGATTTTGCCGGAGATGGGGACGGATTTCGTCGGAGATGGGTGAGAGAGTGAGAGATGGAGATGGGACTGAGTTGTGATTTTAGGTTTTAGGTTTTAGGTTATGAGTTGCGATTACGGGATATACTGTGGACGGTTCAGTGTTCCAATATATTAATATTCGTGTTTGGAATTTAAAAATAAAATACTTGGCCAGGATACTAATGGCGCTTTGAAAATCGCATTGCGATTATGTATTATCGCGTTGCGAAAGTCAGAATCGCGTTGCGAAAGTCAGTATCGCGTTGCGAAAGTCAGTATCGCGTTGCGAAAGTAAGTATCTCGTTGCGATTTTGTATTATCGCATTGCGATAGTCAGTATCGCATTGCGATTTTCCCAATTCGCGTTGCGATTTACTTATTCGCATTGCGATTTTCCCAATTCGCGTTGCGATTTACTTATTTGCATTGCGAATTGGGAAAATCGCAACGACACTGTAGACCATCGCAACGCGATTTTCAACTATCGCATTGCGAAAATGCAACGCGAATTTGCTATAATGGAGATCGCGTTGCGAATTAGCGATCGCATTGCGATTTTGTTGGTCATTTTGGCAAATCCGGAAAAAGTTAGTTAAAATCGTATATTATATGGGATTTTTGGTCACTGAGGTTATTTTCTCATAATATTATGCATGGTGTTAATCCAAAGACTCCATTCTCAAATGCGTTGCTTAAATCTCCCACGTGTATATATATATTTTAAATAATCTAAAATGATTATAATATAATATTTATTTATTTTTATAATAAATTGATAATATATATCCACCATGTTGATGTTACTCGAAACTAAAATCTCTAATAAAAATAACATATTTTTCTATTACTGAAACCACTCTATATATTTAACTCTTATCGTGTTTTCAATTAATAAAAAGATGAATGACTTTATTCTATCTTTATTGACTAAAACAATTAATAAAAAGATGAATGACTTTATTCTATCTTTATTGACTTTCTACACAAGTTGGGGTCATTCTCAATTATGGAGCAATATCAATTATCAAAGTATGTATACAATCAGAATTATCTTACTATATATATCAAAGATTTATATGCATCATAAAAATAACAAATATGAAATCTCGAAATTTTCAAATTTTAATCATTTTATGATCTCGTTATTAAACTAAAACTTCATATTCTATTATTAGTTTGATACCTGTGAGGTATTTTTATTTTAAATATATTATTTTACTTTAATCTAAAATTTAAATTCTGTTAAACTCGTCAAGTTGTCTCAATGACTAAAAAGAGGTCATTCTTCTTAAAAATCTTGAGTTCGAACAAATACGTCTATAGAATATGTATATTGTCATAAAATTAAAAAAAATCTAAACAAATACATCCTTACAAGTTGCAATCACCCTAAACTATTAAAAAATTAAAACGGTTAATAATAGATTTAGAGTTGTCGATTTATAAAAACAAAACTTGGATTTCGATTCTTCATATTCTTTTTTTATGTTTTTATTTTAAAATAAATTATATCATAAGTCACTTAGTTATTGGTAAGACTATAACTATATTAAAAAATATAATTAAATTATTCAATTAATTCATTATTATTTTTATTATTTTATAGGGTGAACTACATCATTCTTCATTAAATTTTATTCCCTCTCCTATTTCGTTCACTGTATTTTTAACTTTATCAATTTACTTATTGAATTTTTTAATTGTAATTGTTTTGGTCACTCTGAATTATTTTAATATGATGTGGTATTTTTTATTATTATTTAATATAAAAATAATTTAATATATAATATTAAAATCAGACGGTGGTCATCTAGTGTTCATCGTCGTTGGATGCTACCGTCGACGGTCATATATGGTAGTTGTTTGGTCCCAGTTTTCATCTGTCGCTTCGTCTCGACCCCTGAGTCTGAAACCTACCTTAATTTTACCGGAACATGCTCCGAATCCGATCAAAAGTGAGGAAACTGAAACATCGATGGTCGTAGATGGTGGTCTTTTAATCTCAAAGTTTATGGGTCGCTTCGCCTCAACTTCCTGAGTCTGAATCCAAACTTCATTTTGTCGAAACATGCTCCGAAGTCTACTTAAAGATCGAAAGTGAGGAAATTAAAATATTTCAGTCGATATTTGCGGGTTTTAGGATATTTTTCGGTGAAACAACCACCAGATTTTGACTCAACGTGTCAAAGCAAGTCTCTGAGTACAATTTAGGATCAAACGATTGCCGGTTCCAAAGGTCAAAGGTGGTCAACAGTGATAAGAATGAGCGGTGCCGATGATATCTTTTTAAATTTAATAATAAAATATTATTTTATTATTTATTTTAAATTAATTTTATATTTAATAATAAAAAATATCACATCATATAATAGTAATAATAAAATAATTTGTAGTGACTAAAACATGAGCAATTCGAAAGCTCAATGAGTAAATTTAAAAAATATTAAAAGTATAATGAGTAAAATAGGAAAGATGGTAAAGTTCTATGATGAATGGTGTAGTTTACCCTATTTTATTATAAGGAATAAAACAACGTTAGAAGATGTTATTAATAAACATTTTTAAATAATTTTCTTATTACAAATAATACTCACCTAATATAGAAAAGAAAAAAATAAAAAAAGAAAGAAAGAAAGAAAGAAATAAAAAATCAAGAAAAGAATCACAGCCATTACCATCGCCGATTCTTCATCCTTGTACCTAAACCTAACCACATCAACAAACCCTCACCATTCCAAAGCCTCTTGAAAAAGAAGAAAGAAGAAAACTTGTTTTAGGTTTTGTTTTTTTAAATATAGTAAACTCCACCCGATAATTCGAATGATGAAAAGATTGTAGTTGATGAGAAGAAAAATGTATTTTTAGAAGATGAATGATATAGATAGGGACGGACGCAGAATTTTCTGTTAGGAGATGAGTTTATAAAAATTTTAAGGTGAGATATACTTATAAAATTCTAGAAGACAGAAACATATTTATAATAGAAATACAAAAAAATATCTAAAATATACAACAATTTAAAATTTAAATCTTCAAACGGTCAAAATATAATTTAAATCCTAAGGACGAATGTAAAAAATAAGTTTGATGATTTTGGATTTGGCCTATCTCGATCTTGATTTCTTTGCTTGATATATTATATTATTCATTTTGAATAGTTTGGATGATTATAATACGATATATATTAAGAACCTTTTTAATTTATTTATAACTCATATACATCATGTAGACACATTTATTCAAATTTAAAACCTCTAGAAAAATAAAAACTCTGTTTTACTACTAAAACCACTCAATATATTCTATTCTATTTATCTTACTAAGAAGTTCTTTAGGTTTTGTTTAAAAGAATCACGATTGTTTGACATTGTCTAATATTCCGAGTATGGAGGGAACACTAAGTCGAGGTTTTTTGGTGGTTATTATTATGCGATCAAATTTTAAATACTCTTGAAAATGGTAATTATTTTTTTATACCTAGGGTCAGTTTGATATTGTTTTTGAAAAATGATTTTAAAAGTGTTGTAAAAATACTTTTGAAAATATTTTTGAAAAGTGCAATTTAAAATTTAATTATTTAAGATTGATGTTAAAAGTTGATTTCAAAAAGATAAAATGTAGACATTATATTGTCAATTAAAAATATAGTATTTGGGGATAAAATTATAATTTCACCCAAAAGTGATTTTCCACAATAAAAGCTAGAAATTTTATCTTATGAGGTTAGATTAAAAATCAATTTTCCAGCCATGATTTTAAATCAATTTTTAGGTGTTCAACGTTGCTTATGAGGCAAAAAATCACTTTTCTATTGTTAGAAACATTCCCAAATCAGGGTGATGTTTTGAAATACATATTTTATTAAACTAAATTAAATTAATAAATATTATATAATAAATTATCAATGAATTGTAAAAACTTAATTAACAAATTTAGGGTCACTTTACTGATGATATAAAAAGTTTTAATCATTGTGTAGAATTGCTATATTAAAGCAAGCAAATTTATTAATAAAATATTTAAATTATTTAAATGGTGTTAATTAATTAATTTATTGTTAATATTTAATGGATGAGCTGACGTGATAATTACTAAAATTAGAATAATTACACATTTAATTCTCATTGCTTATACTTTCTATCAATTTGATTTTAACGTTAAATTAATTTGATAAATTTAATCTTCTAATCAAATAATGACATATGTCTTGAAGGAGCTACCATTGAGTTAACTCTCATATTTTATAAATTAGAGCATATATTATATATCTGGTTGGAGGCAAATCAATCACATGATGCAACTATCTAAGATTCTTCACCACAGGGGCTTCTATATCACCTTTGTCAACATTGAGTTTAACCACAAACATTTACTTAAGTCCCATTGAGTTTAACTACAAACATTTGCTTAAGTCCCAAAGACCTCAAATTTATTGCTCAAGTCCTAATGACTTCAAATTTATTGAGTGGTCTCAGTGGTTAAAGGAAGTGTTGTTCTTCCTTGAAGGCCTAGGCTTAAGTAGTTGCATCTGTAAGCGTGTGTGTATTGTCAATGGTTAAAAAAGATTATGTACATATATTGTATTGTAATCACCCGAGATTATTTCAACAACAACAACAACAAAATCCTAAGGACCTCATGACGATCTTCCTTCTTTTCATTTCCATACCATTCCCGACGGCCTTACGCCAATGGATGTCGATGCCATCCAAGACATTCCTTCCCTCTGCAAGTCGACCAGTAAAACACGTTTTACCCTACTTTAAGCGCAACTTCTCCACAACCTAAATGAGTCCTCGTCAACATCCAACGTCCCTCTGTTTCTTGCGACTTCCTCATTTATGTTCATTACCACCGACTAATGGAAAAGGGTTATACGACTCCCAAAGGTATTTGTAAAGATCCTTTTTAGCTTAAATATTTCCACTTTCACCATTTCCCTGCCATTGACTTGACTTAATTATTGTTATCTTGAATTTGCAGATGGAAGTTCTTTAACGAACAAATATTTGGATACCGTCATAGATTTGATACTAGCAGTGGAAGTCATTCGATTTTGAAACAAATGAAAGTTCAGATATTAAAACGAAATAAAACTGACAATTTAGATACTAAACATGTAGTTTACCCATAAAATTATTATAGGAAGAAATTTATAAAGCAACAATGTAAGAGAAAACCTGCGACAAAATCAGAGTATTTATTTTTATAAATGACGCACAAATGTAATTGACTTAAAGAAGAACAAGAAAATTACAACATGGGCTGATAAGATTTGTTCAACTTTCCACTAAAACAAACAAATTAAAATTTACAGTTGTGATTAATTTTCTCTTATTGCCCCACACCATAAATCAGAGAAATGGAAGTTCGTTAGGGTCGAAAGAAAACAAATGGTTTTCCTTACAAAATCAGTCAATTATACCTCTCCTAAACCTAATTTTCTCCAAAGAAGCTTCCATTGAGTTCTTAACTGAAGAGTTTTGCATATAATATATGGTTCCAAGTATCTGGCAAACCCGGAAGGCACCAATGGCTACAGTCGTTACCGTTGTGTAGGCCGCTATATGTGGCCGGATGTGCGTCTTTTCGATACTGAGAGAGTCCAGTAACGTCGAGCAAATACACTGGTTTCTTGATCCGACTAAGGACCTTCTTCACTACAACCCATGCCATAGGCGTGCCTGCTGGATATTTCATTCCGAAGAATGGTTGCGTCTGTCCCGTACATGATTGTGTTGGTTGGTTCCAGTCCTTCCCCCTGCAAATCACATTATTTCTCCGCATCATAAGTAGGAATAGATACATGATTTTATACTAGATAACAAATTTATAAAATTTTAAAAAACGAGTATAGCGAAAATAGATTATCAATAAAAAATATCTAAATTATACTAAAATATAAAATTTTTAAAAGAAGCAACTACTCCGCCAACTTTTTTAGACCTATCTCCTATCATAAGTACAATCGACATTCCATGAGAAAAACTCCATGAATGAAAATTATGTATAATAAAATGATTAAAACTACTTAAATTGAATAAAAATTGCAAGGCAAAGGAGAAGTTTAGGAGAGAGAGTTAAGGTTGCTTACTCATAATGGGTAGGAGAAATGCCTTGGAAAAAGACCTTGGTTTTGAAAGGATCAACGTTGCGATTCACCCATCTGGCCCACGTTGTTAATCCTTTGTAATATGCAATCATACGGTTCATGTCTTTCCACGTTTTACCACCGTCTTCTATGTAATCAAATCTGCACAATATCCGCACCAATTATTGTTATTAACATTATTATTATTATGCAAGATATTCCTGCAAGCTCAAAAAATAGTCACGTGATGAGAGAACTTTTTAAATGCATGCAATGTTTTTTTGAAAAGAGTAAAAGGCATCAACATGTATTTTAATTTGGTAAGTGATTTTTAAATTTTAAATCTTAAAATAATAGAATTAGAATTATTTTGTTAAGAGAAAATAGACAAGGCGGGATCACAATGGCGATTTGTGTTTGAAATATGTCGGGACCAATGGGAGCGGGTACTGTGTATGAAAAGAAAAAAGAAAGTGATCCTACGGCTGGGATCTTCCGGTGTGGGTCCACCAGTGCCAGGTGTTGAAGATCAGCATGTCCATCCCTTTCCATGAATCTCCACCCCTGATCGAGTCAAGCTTCAACAGTCTTCCAAATCTCTCGTTCACTACGTCAACAAGGTATGGAGTTCTATACAAGAATATCTTCACATCGTAATCCTGCAAATTTTATTACATATTTCAAAAGAAAAATTATACTATTTTTATAAACATACTTTTTAATCTTTTTCTGCAATTATAATTTTTTGAGATTTAAAAATTAAAAATAGCATACATTTAAATAGTTTGAACAAACTTTTCTCTTGTATATTGTAATAATAACCGTATCAATTAAATTAAAATTTAATAAACTTTTTAAAATATATATATATATAATGAATTGTAAGATATGTTTATATAATATGAATTAAAAAAAGTTAACATATGTATACCTAACTTATTAAAATTTTTAAATTGAAGATTAACATAACAATACTTTTAAATAATATGTTATAACTATAAGATAAAAAATATTTAGATTTTTTTAGTCTACTAGTAATGCACACACCCTACAAACATTAATCAAATTTAACATGTAAACTCATTTAAATTACAGCACATTAAGACAAGTCAGTAAATTTAAAATTAATATAAATTTAAATACATTTAAATTTGTAATTTTTTAAATATTAAAGATTATATTAATCCTTTATGATAATTAAAAACAGGTATGAATGGATAAGTGAGAGCCACAGAAAATAGCAGACTGACATGTGATGTGCTCCCACTTTTAATGCACAATTACCTCTCTCCACCCTTATATTCAACAAAACACCACCTCCCTAATTCACTTCAGTCCCTCCCAATTGTCCTTTTCTATTGCTCATGTACCGTACTTGTCGTCAAGTAATTTTCCACCAATGTCCAAAACTCTCTCCTAAAAAGATGTAAATACCAACCTCTCCCCTGCAACTTTATTTTTTATTCATAATTATTTAACTCTATATTCTTCATAAAAAATATATCACATTTAGTCTTTAAATTATACTATTTTCAATTTAATATTTAATTTTTTTTCATATTAATACCTAAACTTGAGTTACCACTATCTCAAAATATCTAGTCATTATTCATTACAATGACAAAAAAAATTCAAATTCAGTATTTTATATGGACAAAATAAAAATCAATTAACTAAATATGAAAAATTACAAATCCAATCATTTGAAGAAGAAGGAATAATGACCCGAATAAATGTTGAATCAAATGTTAGGAGAGGAAAAAAATCAGTAATAATTTGAAGTAGGCTTAATTAAAAAATAAGTGTTTAAATTATATATGAAAAATGTTTCAATGCTTAAATAATTTTTCGTTAAAAATAGGTGTGTAACGTTTTCTCTATTATCATTTTAGGTGCCCAGACGTTAATCTCCGTTAAGTGACACGTGTTACGTTCAGATAATTTTAAGAATTTTTATTTAAAATAAAAAATAAAATAAAATAACTTAATTTTTTCAAATATTTAATTTTAATCTCGTTGTCACAGCTTGCCGCCACCAACACCGTTAATCGGCCAAACACCCGACGACGTGTGACCTGCCAACCACCCACAACCAAAACCCTCATATTTTCACATCCGATCGAACACCAAAAAATGATGTAAATGAAAGATTTTGTTTTAGGGTTTTAAAGGATTTATGTTTAGGAATTTATAAATTTATGGGGATTTGGTGTTCGATCAATTGCAAAAGTATGGAGATTTTCATCGTGGGTGGTTGGTCAATCACACATCGTTGAGTGTTCGACCGATTGACGGCGTTGGGGGTGATCGGCAGTGACAAAGGGATTATAAATAATGTTTTAAAAGTTTTGAGTTTTTTTAAAGATTTGAAGATTTTAGGTTTTTTATTTATTTTAAATAAAAATTTTCAAAATTATAAGAACGTGACACATGTCACTTAACAGAGATTCTTAACGGTGTTAAGAACCGAGCACCTAAAATGGTAACATAAAAAATGCTAGACATCTATTTTTAACGAAAAATTCTTTATGCATTTAAATGTTTTTCTAGACATAATTAGATATTAAACATTTGAAGTAGTAAAAAGTTAAAAAAATCTTAATCGTCGAAATATAAAAAATTTACATTTGAAAAAGGATTAGAATTACTAATCTTTTCCACTAATGCGCCGAAAAAAGGATTTTGAAAAAGCGAGGTGATACTGTTTTTATGAACAAAAGAGATGATACTGCTTTTATGAGCAAAAGGGGTGCTTTGTTTGTTGTTGTAAGCAACAGAAACCAATTACACAATGGAAGCTTTACCTTCCCAACAGATTGAAAAAGAAATGGAAGACGAAACGACAGGCATGAATGCATTGTCCCCAGCCCAGATTCAAATCAACCATTATTAACTAAACATAATTAATAACGCATCAAATCAAGAAGATCGGACCTACCAGAAAGCTAACCGATGTAAGACCATCTCGTTTGATGTACGAAATCTGGGAATTAGGAACCCAGGCCTGAATCATACACGTCAAAGACTGGAATTGATTCAGACTCAGTGAGTCGCCCACGAACATGATCTTCTTCCCCCTCCATTTCCTCAAGAAATACAGCCCATTGAACCTACACGATTCAAAAAGCTTTCAAAACTCTGTAGGTGTATATATAAAAAATGAATCGCAATCACTTACCTGGGGAGACTGCAGGAGAATGGCTGCCATCGGTACTTGAGATAATTGGAATCGGGTCGGCCATATTTTTGGCAATCGAATTCGGCCTCGATGAAGGGGCATTTGAAAGGGTCGTAGAGAGGATACGAAGGGTCGTAAACCCATTTCCCTCTGAACCAGTTGCAGCTTGTAGCTAAGATTCTGCTTCTGTTGTTGGCATTGTTATTTATGGCATTGAAATCCTCGCCTTTTGTGTGTTGTAAAAACAACAAAAACAGAGAGAATAACACTAAACCCATACCCATGGGGGTTTGGGTTAATTTTGCTGCTCAAAACTGTTAAACAGAAAGGGACGAGTTGTGAAGGAAAAGTGGTTTAGCTTATATAAAGATGGAAAGGGAGAAAAAGAAAAGGTTTCACATGGAACTGCACCTAAACTCAATGTTATCTTGGAGAATTTTTATTGTTTATTATTATTATTTTTATTAAGTCAGTACAACAACTGATATGTTATTAATATTATTGTTTTTTTATTCAGAAGATCCAATCTCGGAATTTATAAAATAAAATAGTAAAATGCTTGTTATTTGTGTGTGTGTCGTGTGGGGGATGGGATCCAATCGACACTTTGAAAAAATAGGAGCAAGCATTATGAGGTTTATTATAAAAATAATAGAATGACTTTCCCTACCTCTGGACACCTTTAAGTTTAAGGATACAACATTAAAGCTTTGCTTTCCCTCCAAGCTGATGATTCGACAAAATTCAATTTTCTTTTCTTTTTTCCCTTTCATTTCTCTCGTAAAACCATTTCAAAAGTAACAAAAATTTAGTGATGTAAATTAACAGAACTTTCGATAAATTATTCGTATAATATTTGTTTATTAATTTAAATAGATGAGTATGAATAAAATATTTTTGTTCATTTAATATAGAAATGTACACGAACATATGTGTATTCAGTTCATTTATGTTTACGGTCAAACTTATTTATCGGCTCGTTTATCTAATTCTCTTTTTCATTTTTTCTTACATTTAAAGTAAATAATGATGAATGTAGGGGTTAAATTTAACATAGAGTGAACTTTAGAGTTTAAACTGTGAAGCCTAAGAAACTTAAAGACTAGTATGTAGTTTCATTATTTTTCTCTAGCTTGAAAATAGAAGGGTAAGAAATGACCATCCAACTCAGTTGGTAGAGCACAAGGTTCTTAATCTTGAGGTCATGGGATCGAGTCCCATGGAGGGTATTTCATAATTTAGAGGTCTCCTACGGAAGTTGCTCTCAACATAGTGTTGGGGCAGCCTACTATCTTACCTCCCCCTTACCCCATTACATATGAGAACAAGAGATAGCCATTTTTGAAAATAGAAGGGTAAAAGAGAGTGTTGGTTAATGTTCATAAATATTAAATGAATATGTTCGTGAACATGAAACAGATATATTCACCAAAGTTAAATGAATATGTTCGTGAACGTTAAGCGAACATGTTCACGAACATTAAACGAACCGGAAACGATCACATTCAAAAATAAATAAATGAACATGAAAACGATACTAAAAATTTAAACGGATATGAATTAAATATGAATACCGAGCACAATCTATGTACACTCCTATCGAACTCTAGAAACAACATATTTGATATTATATTATATTATATTAAAAGAAATATAATAATATTTAATTTCTAGATTTAATTTATCAAAAAAGTCACTAAATTTAATATTTTTATCCACAATAATTTTAAAAATTAATAAATATTTTCATCTTAAATTATTTTAATGTCAGGATACGATCTTAAAATATTAAGTTATTAAAATGATTAAAAGTTAAATTTAACACAGATAAAAAAAATTGTTTTAAAAATTATAAAAAAAATGAAATAAATATTATAGAAAAAAATGTGATTACTATATTGTGTCATGGTTTGCTGCTTGTATACGTCTCATAATTTAAACGTTGAACTTAATGCAAAATGTCGTTAGTTGAAAGAAAGGAAAAGTGGAAATTAAGCGAATAATGGAAGAAGTAGATCGCTTTTATCCCCATTAAGACACAATTGATTATGTCTTCATATCAACTCCATGATGATTAAATTGCTAGTTTTTGTTTACCACAAAAAGGACATGAATCAAAATGTTCAAATATATATACTCACAACAGGTGTAACCAAAAAGGTTATTAATTACTACTTGATAAAGCCTATACTCTCTCTCATTCTATATGGTTAATACGCAATAGTGTTGAGTTTATTAAGTAATCTACGTGATAAATTATATATTTTTTTTGAGATTTCAAGTTCGAGTAATAAATTTTTTATGTTAATAAATTTCAACTATAATATTTAAGTATTATTAAATTTAATAAAATTAGAAAACGTTAATGCATTAGCTGTAATTTTATTGGTATTCTCCTGGTCAATTTAATAGGCCACATGCTTGTATGACAAATTTATTATTTATACGTGTGTAATATTTACGTTAACAGCATTAATGAAACATGGGATAAATTTAATATTAATCATATTATACATGTATTTTTTAATAAAAAAATCAATATCTAATTTAAAATATTGAGAAAAGTTTTCTCAGGAATAATGACTGTGGCAGCAATGATTTCGCCATAATTTTAGGTGTATAAACTAACATGACTTCGTCAGAATATGATAAAATTCCACAATTTATTTCGCACAAATTTTCTTTCCCTGGAAATTCAAAAGTTGGGAATAAAATTTATTATATAAGAGTTTATTTTACAATTAGTAATTTAATATTATTTCATATATATTTTTATTTCTAATTACTATTTTATTCCTACTAATTATTATCATATCCCCTGAACGAGCGACATATTTGAAGTAAAAAATATATTTATCAGAGTTTAATTATTTAAAATGAAAGATATATCTATCAAAATTTAATTAATAAAGTATTATTAGTGAGTGATAAATAATTTTTATATAAATGTATGATTATTTGTTTGATTCTTATGTACGATTTTTAATTTTTATTTAATAATATAAAAAAAATAAAATATTAATTACAAATTATAATATTTAAAAAATTAACTAAATTAAAACAGGTGCATAAAGTGTCCCAGCTTAGTATTGTAAGGTCAATTAAGACGGCCAAAAACTCTCCTATGTGTAGCAATCATAATTTTCTTTATTGATTGATTTGTTTTGTTTTTCTACATTGAATGAGTCAGGTAAACGAGTCAATATTTAGCGAACCGTTATCATTCTTCGATAAAAAATTAGTTTATATTTGTTTATTTATTAAATAAATGAATATAAATAAGATTTTATGGTCGTTTAATTAAATGAATGAAAATGAATAAAATGTTCGTTCGTTCATATAAGTTTGGTAATCTGTTTGTTTATGTTCGTTCATTTATATTTAGTCCAATCTCCAAATCTGAGTAAAATATTAAGACCTAATGAATTTTAACATTAAACTCATTAATATTTTAAAATTCAATTAATTTTAAACTCAAATAAAAATACCCAAATCAATTAAAGAAAATGAAACCCTAAAACTATTTGAATAGGAAAAAAACTTTTTTTTCAAATACAAACGCAATTAATTTTATGTTTATTTGTTTATGTTTGTTTACTCTCGTTCGTTTGTGTTCGGTTTACGTTCGCACGTTTGTGTTCGTTTATCATTTTAACAAACAAACATGAACGAGCTACATTTCTTAATAAACAAACATGAACAATAAATTTTGATCAATTTATTAGTTCGTGTTCGTTCATTTGTTCGGCTAAAGTTAAACAAACGAACATTAATATACCCTTGTTTGTGTTTGATGTATTTGTTACAGGTATAATTGAATGTGATGATAGTTATATATTTATTTTTAAATATATGTATTTAATTGTTATAAAATATAATTTAATTATGATATATATAAGACCATATTGAAAAATAAATCGAATTTTTATGCGTAGCTCATTGAAATATTAAATTATCAGTTGAGATTTAAAATGACTTCTTATGTTTCATATGTGAATTATACTGTCAATTTATAAAAAAAAATTAAAATTATTTAATTATTATATATAAAAAAATTAATCACGAAACATGTATTAATAAAAATTTCAAAAAAAAAATGACAGAAAAGTAGTAGAGCGATAAATTTAAAATACAGGTGTAAACTAACAAAATTTGAGAGTGGACCAAAGTCATAATAGTTTATGTCGTTATCTTTTTTTGATTGATAAGTCCAAGTCCTGATTTTATGGAATACGTTTATATCCAAATTATTGAAAGATACAAACCACGATAAGCTTTCAATGTTGGGTCCCTCCAATTGAGTTGTCATCCATTACTAGGCGTTTCTATCTAAATATCACCCTCAGATTTAATAATTAACTGTCAGACATTTTATCCTCAAATATTACCGATCTATCACATTTTCTAACACGGTGGCAATAAAGCGTGTATCGCCATTTACGCCTTCGCGGGGTTCTGTCCGAGCTGGTGCCACGTAAGAGAAAGGTGTAGATCGCCATTCACGCCTTCATGGGATTCTAACACGCCTTCCATTATGCACGTTGAATTATTGATACTCGATTATTATCCGTGCCTAAAAACGTAGCTTTTAAACGATCATTTCCCCTATAAATAACAATTCCTCTGAATGCAAACATCACCACACTAAAATTATTTGCTTATTTTCATTTCTATCAAATCATTCGATCAAACTAAGTATATATTGTTATTGTTTTATAAGGTAAAATTAATTATTATTATATTTAATTATTTGAACAAATTTTATTGTACACATTATTTTATATTATTTTTTACGGTTGTAAAATTGGAAAGCGATATCATACCTCGAGACATTTTGCTGATACTGTAACAACATGAAATTGTGTTATTTAAATTATTGTTAGTTTTTTAAAAAAAGTTGGATTAGTTTATATTTTAATTCATATATCATTTATTTAATTAGAAATATTTAAGCTATTGTTTTTGTAAATATAAAACTCTCAATCTTTCAAACTCTCAAAATGACGTGTATTTCAGCTATTGTTTACTATGATGGAGAAATTCGAGAAGATGGAATCGGCGTCGTCTTCGCATCAAATCATTCTGTCAGAATATCATTCAAGAGAAACATCATTCTTTAGGCGCTAATCACTAAAATTTCAATGAAGGTTTATGTTGGAAGTACTATAGGACTGTCCTCACTTCAGTACAGATTTACAACCGTAGCATTTTCGTTAACTTATACAACGTTCGAACTCTTCAGCGATGATGATGTTGATATGATGGTTGATTCTCACAATCAATATTGAGACGTTGATACAC